GGCAATAACGCCCCTTAATGGGCCCATACCCACTACTTTAAACAAAGGTTCTAAAAAGCTCGAGATGGCTTCGTCATGGCTCCAAGGCTTGTATTTGACATCGTGCTTTAACAAACGTTAAGTCATATATATATACAAAAATTAATAATAGTAGAATATATATATATATATATACAAAATTGTCGCATTATGTCACGCCTTACAAACGACGTGGCTCACTACGACTCGTAAAAACTTGAGGCTTAACATTGCCGCTAAATCACCGCCTAACGTTATTTAGAACCTTGGTATAAATAGTTAAATGATAGAGTTAAGTCAACGACTGATATAGAAATATCATAAATTGATATATATATATATATATATATATATATATATATATATATATATATATATATTCAACTTATGACAATAGTGATTCCATATACATTGATTTAAAGATGACGTATTGATGGTGAGGACAGATGAAATTGATCCACGGTGGCGGAGTCATAACAAAATGTTAGGGGTAGCACACGAAAAAATTTAGGGGTAGCACGCAAATTACACTACCCTGGAAAAAATTCAAAAAATTTCTACTATGCTTAAAAATTTGAGGGGTAGCACGGGTTACCTTGGGCTCCTTAATAGATCCTTCACTAATTAGACTAAATATTAAGATTATCGTTCTTGTCATCAAGTGAAATCTGAACATCAAATTCCTTATGGTAGTTTATCATTATAACTCTCTGCATGGAAATGAGATCATGTTACAGAGAACTTTGTAGTTGGGTTACAAAAGATGAAAATATGGATAGATATTATGTAGGTAAATATGAATTATAACACCCGCAGATCCGGGCTAGTCAATTAAAAATGATTTTTCGATAGAAGAATATTTAGGGTAAATTATCCTAACCAAAGTTATAACATATGTGACAAGGATTTCGTACATATAAGGAACGTTGAAATCCGACTTTGTACGAAGAAGGCATGCTTCTTCGAAGTTTCATGATTAAACCAGCACGGCTCTACGTATCGTAAAAAGTAAAATTTTGATAAATTAATTTTTAGCCTAAGTAATCTAAACGAAATTCATAATAGTCGTTAAACCGAGAGCGTGCATATAGAGAACGTCCAAATATGACTTCGTGAGAGGAAGTTATGATTTTTCGAAGTTTAAGCGCATCAGTGTAGGCATAGAAATCGGAATTCAAATCGTTTTATTGTTAGCCGAAACAAACTAAACGATAATTGAAGATCTCGTGAATATGAACCCGTCAATATAAAGGCAGTCGAGAACGGAGATCATATGAAGAAGTTATGAACTTCGCACGGACTTTAACAGTCTAAACCGGTCTAAATATGAATTTTGTTAGAACAAGAATTAGATATTGAGACCATAATTAAAGTTTCAGAGCTCGCCGAGAGGATTCTGGGGATTTAAAGAACATCTAAAACGGAGCTCTGATGAGAATGTTATGGTCATCCGAAGATCTACGAAAATTACACTGTGCTAATGACGTAGCACATTCGGGATGGGACACGTGGCATGGTCGGTGATCGAATCTCCATCAACGAAAATTTGACATGTGACACCACAAGAGTAGGCCACATGGCGGTCTTCTAGAAGGGGCGAGGTGTCAAGATCTGACGGTGACACGTAGCGCACACTCAAAGGAGCAGCACCAGCAGTAGGGCGCGGCGCGCCTATGGTCGATGTGTGGCGCGCGCTCCTTATCCTATATATATCCTCCGATTTTCTTGGTTTTTCCTCACAAAATCACTTCAATTCTCTCTCAAACCTCTCTAGCCTTGGAATCCGAGTTTTTCAAGTTTCCGAGTAGTTTAGCGTATATCTAGGAGTCCGACAAGCAGGAGTATTCGGTTTGGGATTATGTCCGCAATTTCCCGGGTTTCGCTAAAACCTCTATAAGTTAAGCTATACTATTTTGCTTTCAGTGTAACCTATATTTATAGTTATAGGTCGTTATTATGATCCTAAATAAGATTTATCAGTGATTCCAAGTCATTATATTGATTGATGTACTTACGGGGATGATGTCTAGGCTGGATTTAGTGATGTGTTTAAAGTGAGATTTCCAAACAGTATATTATGTATATATCAAACGGATCGTACCTCCGATATGATCCTACCAGGTTGTTCCTTACTTGATAGATATTGATCTAGACATTGGGATTAGTGAGGAATCTAGAATATCATTAGTCGCTAGGAATATAGGACTAAGACATAGTAATATGAACCTAAGTCATGTCAGAAGAAAAGATAAAGTACCAAGGTGAATTCTGCCCAAATTTTGAGGCGTCCACTTCTATCAAGTGAGTATACAGTTACTTTTAGCTTACACATATATATCAAGTATTTAATTTGCTTAGACGCCTTGCGTTTTTATTAGTTGCGTTCATGATAACTGTGCTAAATGAGATAATGATTTTTACTCGCAGTAAATTATATATGTATTTTATTATACTTATATTGTATCGGGTAAAAATGGTAGAGAGAGAAAATAGACTGTATAATGGTGAGAGACAATGATGTCTACTTGTTGTTATAGAGATCCTTTAGGATAAGTCCCTTGAGATTATCATTTTAGGATGGAAGAGTGAGAATAACAGGAATGGGTAATCGGGATTAATATGTTTGGTGTGTTATATATACTTAAAACAATATAATAATAATATTGTGGGTTGGAAACCCTATGTACTCACCAGACTCTCAAGCCTGGTCCACTCAGTTTTTTTGTATCGTAAGTATCAGTACGAAGGAACAATCCACTAAGAGATTCAAGTAGTATAGGCCATTAGTGCAATGAGTTAATATAAGGCCTATAATAATTACGTTTATACTTATGTTTCTTGTATCAGTTATGACATCCCAAAGTTTATAATATTCAATGAAAAACATTTCTTTAAAAATATTTTTTATAGGACAAATTTCACATTTACAATAAACTCTGTTTTAAAATAAATATAAATAAAACAGTTTTTTTTTTCCGAGAAAATTAAAGATGTCACATGAATACACCATCAAAGTTGTCAATTTCCAAACAAATTCCAAATTCTCGAGGAGAGCCTTTTGTTCTCATAGAATTGTGTGTGAAGAGCCCAAATGTGTGGTCATGTTTCTTACCAACTAAGGAGATCTCTTTTACAAACTAATATGGTTATATAAGGATGAGATAGCATCATGACACATAGTACGGGTGTCTAAAATATTCATGTTAACTTGAGCGTCATTCATAAATTTTCGATTAAAGCGAAATAGTGATTAAAGCCTTGGGAGATATCTTAGTGCACGTGCAATCAACTTTGGGAGCAGTCGCATGTGCTATTGTCTATATAATTATAGTTATCATTTCAATATTTAGTAAGGTCATAAGAAACAATATATCATAGAAAATGTAAAAGCGTCTATATGGTGAAAATAAATAGGATAGACACAACCGGTCATACTATAAATAGTATAACAAGCGGCTAACAAAATTACATATATATCATAAAAGGACCATCAAAATAGAAAGAAAACATCATTAATTATAAAAAAGATGAGAGAATGTAACATTTATATTTCAAATGAGATATGTGTTGAATATACCTCAATTCTTACAATCTCAAATACTTTTGGATAATAAGTATTGAGTATAGTAACAAAATCAAGATGAATTCTTTATTTTTATAAAGGAAAAGTGCATATAGATACTATTCTCGATAATAAACTTCTTGTGCCCCAAGAAGATATAATGTACTTTCAAAAACATGTATTTTAGGTAACTTCTACCTATAATGTGGCTTACTAGATGAACAAGTTTTTAATCGCTTATGTGATATGTCATGTGTTTGAAAATATGATGTGGCATCCATGGTAGCATTTTATAAAAAAAAAGTAACATACTCGGTTAAATTTTTGTTTCAGGTAATGAGATTTGTTTTTCGTAAACAAAGTGTAGAATATTTTCAAAATTTTATATATTCTATGATCAAAATAAGACTGACCATACTTACTGATAAGAACGTGAATCCAATAACAGATAAATGAAACTAAAATATGAGATATATAGATCTAGGAAGCTATTTGATTACTAAATGGAAATAAGAACAAATCAGAAAGGAAATCCAAATGATTGTTCTCCTGCCCTAATCAGAAAAGTTCTCTCAAGAGAAACCTCCTGCCCAAGCTAAAGCCGATACTCAAAGCTACAAAATACTGAATACCTCACTACTCCTATCACTACTCTATTTATGCTATTCTTCAGATAATTCTAAATAGGGTGCAAAATAGATAATAATAGATATTACAGTTAAGTCCCCCATGTTTACCCATATATTTATATAAGACCCATAGCACATTCTCTATTACTTACAAAATAATATAACCTACACTAAATGAAAATCTTTGATACTATTTTTCCTTGTATTGAACAAAATAGTAAAATATATATTAAATGAAAAAAATAGTATTTCTCCTTTTATTTAAAAAAATAAAAATAAATAATATATATATATATATATATATATATATATATATATATATATATATTACCAATAAGTAATAGATATATGGCCAAAGTAAGTTACCTTTCTATGTCGTTTTCCTTTTTAGTATATTACAATTCTTGGACAAATTGTAATACAGTATCATCGTAGATGGATGTATAATGTTTGGCTACATATATTCATAGAGTTTGGAATTAGGGTGTCGTGACATACGAGTGAAATGCTATAGAAGAGTATATATATCCAGATCTTTATAGATCGATAGATAAATCAATGAATAACCTAAGGGGTAGATTGGATCAAAATGAGTTATGCATGTGGCATTTCGGCAAAGAACTGATATACCCTCCGATAAAGTTGGGCAATTTTGGCAAAGTGAGTTATGCATGTGGCATTTCGGCACGTGTTCAGTATGAATTTACTGATATACCCTTCTCTAAAAGAACCCATTTCACATGCAAAATACACTTGTTACCAATACAAAAAAAAAAAAAAAAAAAAACATACAAATTGCCTCACTTGCTAGAAATATAAATTACTCAAAACACATACATAAAATGCATTGCCTCTACAAAACCCTAAAATCCATATATCCATCCTAACAAAATTTCAAAATTTCAGAAAAATTGCTCATGTGATCTTTAATTAACCACGGGTTTTCTCAATAAACTTAAGAGCCTCCGCCTTAACATATTCAACTCTCTCCTCATCCCCATGTGACTTCTCAAATTCAAGATACTTTTTAAATAAAAACTGCAAAATCCGAAAAAACATATATATCAATCTTATAATCAAATATATAAAAACTAGAATTAACAACAATAACTAACTCACCTTCATCTTCTTAACAGGAAGCTCTAAACATATAGTTCTCTCAAACAAAGCACGAATCACATCCACATCTCCAATCCGAATCTCCTATCAAATTTCAATTTATATGAAAAAAATAGCAAACATAAACACTTTCTTCTAAAATTGAAAAAAATCAAAATCCTATTATTACTTACTTGATCAAGATAAACACTCCACAAATCAGTTCTTTTAGGATACTCACGAAGCATTCCTTCAAACATTGATCTTCCTCTATCAGGAACTCCAGTTTTAAACTCAGAAATTGCAGTCTGTGTAATGAACTTAATGTGTTTGTGTTTTGGAAGACAAATAAGAGCACGTTTCACAACAGAATGAACAAGATCCTCGTTTTGCTTCAACACCCTTTGAATCTTCCTTAACCAGACTTTGCATGAATGCTTGAACTTCTTCATCATCTTTTCAAGAAGCTCATCTGCTAGTTTGTGTTGTTCAGTTCTTTCATACATTCCCAGAAGGGCATAATGGACTTTTTTCGCGTCACAGTATTGCAATGCCCTTTGAAATATTTTAACCACTGCATCCTCTGGAGGGGATCCGTATTCGTTTTCTAAGTTAAAGTATGCAACCCAAACATTCAGCTTCTCTGACTCTTCTCTGATATTAATTGTCCTCAAAGCCCTAAACAACAACCAACATTTTTTTAAATTTTACATAATTTACATAATCTTTGATATGAAATATGAAGAATTTTTATTTTTATACCTTTCAGCCATTGATCGAGCCTTTTCAACTTCATTCAAGGAGAGAAAAAATGCCATGTATTTTATCCAGATAAAGCTGCTGTTTGGGGAGCTTCTTATCAGCTTCTCATAATCATCAGCTGTTCTTGGAACATCTTTCTGCAATAGTCTCTCCTCTGCAGCCCTAATTTCTCTTTCCCTGTTTACAAAAAACTTAAAAATTACGATATTGCCCTTTTCATAATGAGATTATTAATTATTAACCTATGTGAATTACCTTTCATCTGTTTCTTTCTTTTTTGTTCGTTTACTTTTGTTTTCATTCTTTTCAGGTTTTTTGTTATCAAGAGGCTCTGGAATTTGAGCTTGTTCTTCCTCCATGGGTGACTCATCTGCTTCTTCATCTAAAGTAACTTCAAGAGGAAGAACAGAAGCTCTGGATTCCACTTCAGCTAATGCTGGATGTTTCCCGTTTGAGAATGGAATCAGTGATTCCGGGGGGGTCTCGGTTGGAATAGGATTGTCTGATTCCGAATCTGAATCAGAATTATGAATTTCTTGTGTTTGATTATCGAAATATGATCCCTTCATTCCTAAAGAGATTCTTTGTCTCTCTTCGTCAACCTGTCAAATGACAAGCCAAGGGTATATTAGACAATTCACTACAGCCTAGCAAATTGGATATTTATTTTTTTATATGCTGACCTTCAAAATCTTGGCCTTAACTTTCTCCCGAATTTTGTACTTTGTTTCAATGTCTTCACTATGACCTTCAGGGAGCTCAGACACATGGCATAGTCCAACCTATGCAAAGAAAAGAGAAAACTTTTATTTAATATTTTATACTTTCAATGAAATGAATGTAGGATTATTATATTATATAATAAATAAACACATCAACTTACTAATTTAGATTGATCTATTGCAATAAACAAACCAAAAGATTCGATTCGCTTCACCCTTCCACTTATAATTTCTCCAACATTGAGACTACTGAAGTCACCAATGTCAGAATTTTGACTTTTTGTACCACTTGTTGACCGAAGACTGACTTCAATTCTCTTTGACAGAGGCTCCAATGAAACCACCCTGTGTAAAAAGTGAAAAGTGAAAACACATCATTACATGAAAAAAGAAAAGACAATTAATAAAAAGATATAATCTTTTACCTTCCAGATACAAGTTTCCCAATTGGAAACTCTTGTTCAGGTTTTGACACAAAGTCATCTGATAAATTTGAGATGAGGATTTTTGCATCAAGCTTTCTTGAAAGCATAATGAAACATCCCTTTGGTGTTACATTCTTCACATACCCCTAAAAAGATTAATAAAAAAGTCAAAAAACAATATTTTTGACATCATAAAGAATAAGACCATTTACCTCTATTGTCATATTAGGGTGAAGATCCTCAATCTTTTCATAACGATTACTTTGAGGATTCCTGCAAACATTTATTATCATTATCAATACAGTTAAATAAAGTTTCACAAATCTTTTTTTTTTTTCAATTATCTAGAATAAATAAACATATACTTACACAAATGAACGCAAAGAGAGATCAACATGAACAGTTCCTGTTCCAGAATGACCAATTTCCACAACTTTGCATTTCACAAATTGCCCTTCATGGTATCCAGATAATGGATTTGGTACCCATGGATCTTGTAACTCTGTGAAATGAACTTTACCCGAAAGATGTGGATCTATTTGGACAATTAAGCCACTGACACCTGGCAGTATTTTGGAAACTCTTCCACCAACAACTTCACCTTCACAGATATGAGATGTGAAAGATTCATCTGAAGCTCCATTATCAACTACTGGATGTGATATTACACGTAATAATCTTTTCTCTTTATTAGTATTTAGAATATATCCGGATACCCGTTTTCCTACATGAAACCGTTTTTGGAAATCTTGAAGCTCAGAAGGATCAGATGAGGTGTCAAGAATATAAAGCTGTGCCCTTATGTCACGGGTTACTGATATCCAGACCCAATCTTTATCCACTTTGTACACAAATCCAGTTATATTTTCACCAATTGAGTAACTGAAATCTTGTGGTTTACTCACATATGATTCATCTGCAAGTTTATTTAAAATAAAAAAATAAAAAAAATAAAAAATAAAAAAAAGTAAATGATATGCTATATGATTAAAGAAATGTGTGAGTTTTGATAAATGAAACATGTTCTTTACCTGAAACTACTGAGGGTTTAATGGACATGTCCCACCGAATGTTGTTACTATTTTCACCCTTGGTTTTTGACACAATCTTTGTGGTCAAAGTTTGACCAATTTTGAAGTTGCTGAATGGATCTTCTAGAATGTTGTCATCGTTTGCCTATTGACATGTGATGAAATTACAAATCCATTACAGAAAATTAAAAAATTGAGTTTATAATGCAAGAGATTACCTCTGTGATATGTATCCTTCCATGTAAACTAGAACCGAATTTCAGTTTAAGTTCAAGAGGCTTTATTTCTGTAACCTGAAACCAATAAACAAAATCTTTTATGGGGATTCCTGTTTTGATTGTTGAGATTGATACTAGTTTTAAAAATTAAAAGAAAAATAAAAATCCACCTCAGCTTGAACAGTGGATCCAACATCATAACTAGACTTCTTTTTTTGCCCTTTTTGTGCTGGAAGTGTCTACAATCTCATTGTTGGATTTAAGCAGCAATAGTAACCTTTCAGCTGTTGAAGAATCTGGAAGAGACATGACAGATGCAATCACCCTACAACAAAAAAGAACACATTTATCATAAATCAAAAAACAAGAACCTTATTATAAAGTCAAAAATCTTTCATTTTGATCTTTTTACCTTTGTCCACTGACAAATTGTTTTTGTTGGAATGCTTGGGTGTTGTAGTCACTTAAAGATGCATATCCCAATGCAAATTTAGCATCTGGGATAGATAAAACCTGAGCCAAATATATACACAAAAAATAAAAATAGAGAAAAAAAAATGAGTAGAAATAGTAGATCAAATAAAAACACTTACTAAATAATTCTCCTTCACAATTTCCACTACTGCATTTACAGTTTGATTCAACTCCAAATCCTTGTAAGCTGATCTTTTGCGCATCTGAAAGACAAAAGGTAAACAAGGATGATGGAAAAGAAGAGTAAAATTTACAAAAACGCCACACAGAGTATAAGTATGAATTAAAAAGAATAACCTTTTTGGGAGTTTTGGAGCTAGAAGTCTCCATGGATCTGTTAACTAACTCAGGTTTTAAAGATAAATCCACAAGGCGATCCATCTTGGATACATCAAGAATTGTGGCTTTAACAGTTGAACCAATATCTACATTTGATCCACCAACTGCATAAAATTTGTTAAAAAAAAAACATAACATTAGTTGTGCATATGGCATTAAAAAAACTCATTGATTACTTACATTGATGATGTGTGATAAATCCAAAAACATCATTATACTTCTGAAAGCTTATAATAACTCCAGATTCTTTTGCTTCATGAACAGTTCCCTCAATCACATTACCAATAGGGAACTCTTTCACCCATTTCAGACTATTGGACTTTGAATCAGAATAATGCAGCTCTGCAATCTGAAAGATAAATAAGAAACAACCAATGAGAAAAATGACTTTAGAAAGATCATTTAATGAGATTGAGATTGATATTTGATATAATATATATAATCACCTTTTCCTCCAAGAGGAAGTATTCTTTAATGAAAGACGCATCTGTAGAAGAGCATAATGATTGCTTCAATGATAGTGTTATCCTGCTTGTTTCACTTTTAACCTGAATGTATTTCAAAAAAGTACACATGTTATTATGTTAATAGAAACATATAATATTTCCAAGAAACTACACTTACTTCAAGTATGTTACTACGAACAGATTGTCCAACAAAAAACACTTCAGAAAGATCAAATCTTTGGTCATCAACAGCCTGAACAATACAAAATATATGGTTACATAACCAATATTAACAGAAATATATTAATTAAAAATTATTAGCAGACATAAGTGATAATACCTTGTTTTTAGGAGCAAAACCAGTCAAACGCCCAATGAAGCGCACAAAACAACCAGTGTCGATGATATTACAGATATACCCCTGAATCAAATGAGATAGTAAGTTGTTATATTCAAAAACAAACTACTGATGTATTTTCCCTTTTTCTACATATATCATGCTTAACAAAAAAAAAAAGTAATAGAATCATACATGCACCACTGAATGTGGATAAACTTGACTGACATCTGCAGGCAATTGCTGAGTTGCATTAACAAGAGAATACTTTGCAGTTAGTATCAAGTTTTTGTTCTCAACATCTGCAAAAAAAAAAAAAAAAAAGATAAAATTTGTAAATGCAATGAGATCAATTTATATATATATATACATATATATATATATATATATATGTAAACATTGAATATACATACTTACCTAGAACCAAAAGTTTTTCAAACTTGTATCCTGGCTTTAATACCGACTTCATCATAGAAGCAAGCCCTAAAATTGACAAAATAAGTCAAATGATAAAATGTATGATCATCATCAAGATACAGAGACATTCATGGAGAACTCAAAATCTTACCATGGTTATCTGCCAGATGTTCAGGAGAAATCATGCCCTTGATGTAACCTTTAACATCAACATTAACTATTATTGCATGAGGAGTTACTCTTTCAACACTACCTGATACAATACTCCCAAGTTTCACTGTATCATCTTCAGATACCCTGTAAACAAACAATATTTAAATATCAATGTTGATATGTTCATGGCATCTTACATAGTTAAGAGTAGAATTTGTAGAAGATATAGGAAACAAACCTTCCAGGTGTAGGTGTCACTAAGAAACTAAGGTTGATTCTTCTTGAAGAAGGAACTGAGCTTGTAACTCTGCATTTCACAACTTGCTCAACATGATACATTGAACCCACATCAGATCCTGGATCTAGACCAAGTTCAGCCCTAATTCAAAGAAAGAAAAGGAATTAACTAATGTGGTCATGCTGATGTCATCATGACTGAGTATTAAGTATTTGAATCTAACCTTGGGACAAATCCTTGGACACCATTGTAAAATCGGACAAAACATCCATGGCTTTCAATTTTTGTTATCCATCCATGTGTCCATAATCCTTCGGTTGCATCTGTATATGAGCTAAGAATCGGAAGCTTTGATTTTACCTAAAATAGTCAAGCAATCCTCCATTGACTCAGTTGTAGAATACTAACAATAGCAAGAAATAAGTAATTTGAGAGAAGAGCATACGAGTGTTTTCTTGTGTGTGACTGTAATTCTTTTAGACTTGATACCAAGCACACGGAAGACTAATTCAGCACCAACCTGTATAGAAATCAAGAATCTCAATTAAAAAAAAAACAATAGATTGAGAAAAAAGATTCACATATAAGTATGTGGCACATTACCTGGAACTTCTTTCTAGGTTTTACAATTTCAAATTCTGACATGTGGCGAAGAGGACAGAGTGCCTTCACACCACTAGAAAATTGCACAATTGCCCCAAAACTATCGATAATTACGATTTTGGCCTTCACTATCATTCCAGGTCTCACATCAGAGTGAGTGAAAACAGTTCCTTCAAATGCACTAGTCTGTTTAGACCAAAACATCAAAAGTCAAGATCAAGAAATCATGTTTGCTTAAGTTGGTAATAGAAAGTTCACATTTTTTTAACAATTTTGTATAATCTACAAATACCCAGATTAAAAATAACATGACTGAGATTGCAAATTGTAAAAAAGAGTGAAAGTGAACCTTTAAAACACCAGTAGCAAGGCCCTCCAAGAGTCGAAATCCAAAGACTCTCACACGCACAAGGCTTCCTTCTTTGAAGCTTTTCTCCCATTTCTTGACTTCCTTGTCAGACAAATCTGACACCTGCAATATCATAAAATAATGTTGAAAAAAAAGGTTTCAGGTCAAACTATTTGGTCAAGATTATCATATGTTGCAACTGTTTTAACTTACATTAACATATGCTGGAGTTGGAACTGGAGTTGAAGGGATTTCCAATAGAAGTCCGGATCCCCTATCAACTCGGATCACTTTTGAGTCATCAAAAATATCTCCAACTTTAACAAGCTGCATAACAGGTTATATTATATAGATGCATACTTGAAAGTTTGAAATGATATCTACATTCTACACAAATATTAGTTTAAAGATTTTGGTCAGTGCAAAAACTTACTGAAGGTGGAGCATTGTTATGAATAAGATGGGGATTTAAAGTCAAACCAACAGCTCTGCTTGAAGGGTCGATGAACAAAATCCGAGCATTGACCTGACAAAAAAAAAGGTGAAGAGAAGGGTGTAAAAAAAATATTAGGAAGCTTTAAGAAATTTTACCTTCTTATTTTGAGGATACTCGTCTTTCCACTTTGAATCAGGGAGAGTTTTTCCCAAATGAAATACATCAGCCTATGAAAGTTGGAGGAACAATTACATCAAATATACATCAAAAACCAATTTCATTGCTTCATTACAATTTAAATTAAGTAAAGAAACTTGCAAACTTACAGTTCCAGTAAAGAAGGTGAGGAAGGAGAGTAGGATGCCATTTTCAAGAGTTGAAAGCACACGAGCATTAACCATCATGCCAGGAACAAGTAGATTGAATGGAATGCCTTTAAGATCCTTTGTCTGTATAAAAGAATCAAAATGAGATAACTTGAAGCAGTTATACAAAAAGATTATCATGGTAATAGAGAGAAAAATTGAGTCAAATGACAAATACATACCACAGACTTGGCCACCTCATCAGCATCAGAACTAAGATTAACAACTTTACGTGTTCTATCAATACTCTTTACAACTCCTTGTACAAGTTTCCCAACAACCACCTTAGTGTCTTTGCTGCTGTGTTGCATAAAACCAGTAAATGAAGTGACTCCAAAATGAAGCATGTAACCATGGTCTTCAATGCTTTTCACATATGCACTAATGACCTTCAAATGTACAGGAGAAAAGATGTCAGATAAAAAAGACTTTCAAGAAGGTATCAAACAATCTGAAAAATGACTCACCATTCCTTCTTGAAGAATGTCCAAAGTGAAGTTACTATGCAACAAAGAAAGACGTAAAGAGAGCCAGATTTTATGCTTTCCTTTCTCTTTCTCTTTCTTATTATCATTGTCTAATCTAAGTACTATGCATGAAACCAGTTGACCAATGCTATATATGGAAGAAAGAACTTCATCTTCTGTATCCTGAAATTTTAACCAGAAAACACAAAGAGTGTTAGAAAAATCCAACTAGTGTGATACAAGAAAGATAATAAAGTGATTTTGAAAGTATAGTATTAGTACCACTTCCATTTCATCATGTAACTGAGGATCTATTGCTTCAGAAGCACGAACTAACCCACGAAGGCCACCTGGAAGACTAACTTCAAGATCTTTCTCATTCACTTGAGAAATTACACCCCAAAGCTTCATTCCAGGAGTAACATTCTTGAAAGTAATCTTGTTAGCAAATCTAGGCAATTTCCCACCATGTGAATCACCAAAAAGAGAACCCAATTCATCTTCATTTGATTGACTCAAGTTTCTAGTTTTCTCTTTCTTCTTCTTCTTCAAAACTATAGTCTCTGTTCCAAACTCTTTGTCAACCTCTGCCCGAACTTTATCTACCTCTGCCCTGCTGAGTGAACTCTGCCCACCTACAACACATAAAATCTTGCATGAATACTTGTGTGCACGCATATTAAAAAACAAGCGTGTGTAAAATTATTGAAGTCTTGAAACCTCTGGGGAAGTCAGGGACATCGTCTTCAAGATGAATTGGTTGAGCATCTTTAGACATGGAGCCATTTGATTTTTGAAGTGGTTTAAAAGGCTTTTTAGATGGTTTTTGAAATGTCTTAAGCCTGTCCTCTGATGTCTTGTTGAAGGGTTTCTTTGAAGGTTTAGTCATGCCCTGCACAAATGTAAATTGAATAATGAGCACCTGGATGCATACATATATGAAGAAGAACATTCAGCTCCCTGTTCAATTACTCATTCCTTTCTAGAAAACTAGCTGCGTTTTAATTATTTTAGTCATACATGATACTAATTACACATAATCAATACTAGTACTCAAAGAGTTTACAGCAGAACAAGCGTTTGCTCCTCCATATGTTGAAAATAATCAATATTGTTTGATCATCACAATGTCTGATATTGATTGATCATCGTCATGAAAAAAGCTTAGCCTTTCAAATAAGATTTGCTACCAATTTCTAATGCATCAACTATCGAGCTGAGAGCACCCCACTTATACAGGGGCATCATTTGCGATACTCGAAGCTGCCAGTTTCAAGAGTCCCGTCGACTTAATTTCAACATTTGCAGCAGATAAAATGTGGTAGTAACAACTTAAAATTAGCAAAACTGAATTTTGATTACGCGGCGTGCAGTATGCAAGCGCAACATCAAAAAACATGAAAAGCGAAGACCGTGAAAAGGAAACTCTGCTTACTTCTGTAGTTAGCTGAATGGGCAGTACTTCTGTATAGTTGAAAGTCTAGACTCGGAGGTCTATGGCAAATGAAGATATGTTAAAGTCCCGAACTGCAGGCTGCAGCTAGTCAGGAATCAGGCGGCGGAGGAGATGCAACCTCCCTGTAACAGGATGCTAAACAGAGGGTTTCTACGTTTAATTGGAGAGGCCGCGAGAGGAAGAGAGGAGACCGAAGAAGGGCTTCGGCGTGGGGACAACGGAGAATCAAATGGTGGACAGGATTAGGGTTTAGGGTTCTACGTTTCCCGGTTAAATCCTTAAAAAGTTTTTTTACCATCGAAAAGGGTAACTTGGTCAATATTGTCAAAGGGTTTTTTTTTTTTTTTCTTTTCTATTATCCATTTAACATTTACCAAAATGATTTTTAACTTTTTATTATTCTTTTTTCACATCACAGCCAGAGATGCACACAAAAACCGGTTTGAGGCTTTCGATCCGATCTGGAAACCGGATTTGGTCAAAACCGGTTTTGACCGAACCGGTTCGGATTGAAACCGGTAACCGGATTTGTCTTTCGGACTAGTTATCGGATTGACCCCCGGATCAGGAACTGGTTTTGAGCCAAACCGGATTTGGAATATTATCGTTAAAAAACAAGAATTTTGGAAAAAAAATCTATGTTTTTCAATTTTTTTTCTAGCCATTAAAAAACGGTTATAAACGGCTATAATTCATTTTTTTGTATTTTTTACCCCCTTAACACTTATAAATACCATGTATTTTGCTAGATTTTAAGTTTTTAATACACACATATTTTTCACATCTTTTAGTTTTGTTAAAACTTCAAAAAAATGAGCTCGAGAGATTCTACCGCTACTGGTGCTCAAGACTCGGATGCAATGGTGGTGAAAATCTTACCAACCGGTTGGAATAAAGAAGTGTGGGAACATTTTGATATGGTGTTATTGTCGAACGGAAATCAAAAAGCTCGATGCAAGAAGTGCGGGTTGTTAATGGGTAAAGATGACAATAGTACGTTCAGGAGTCATGTAACTAAAACTTGTCCGGTTGTAAAAGGTCAAGACGACCCGAGTCAACCTAATATTACTCCCGACGGGGCGATATTTATTTACATCAATGAAGACGTTCGTGAAAGCTTTTGCAAGTTCGTGATTCAAGAGGGATTGCCTTTTAACCACTTTGACAACCCACGATTGGCACGAATTTTACGGGAAAAATTGCAACCTCAGTACCGGCAAGTAAGTCGCACTACTCTTAGACGTGATGCTATAAAGTATTGGGGTATAGCCAAAAAAGATATGCAACTGGGATTTTTAAATTTAAAAATCGGTGTTTCTTTAACTTGTGATGTTTGGTCCTCCACTGGAAGTGTTTCCAAAAGTTATATTGCCGTCACGGCACATTGGATAGGCCCCTCTACTTGGGTAATGAACAAACAAATTATTGCTTTTGAACTTTTTGTGTATCCTCACACGGGGGCACGGTTAGTAATCGTTATAGAAACTTATAATTTAGGCGACAAAATTTTCTCTGTTTCGTTTGACAATGCAAGTAACAATATCGTCACCGCAAAAAGATTAATTGCAAAATATAGACCTATTTTTGGATGGCTCGTTTTTTCATACTCAATGTGTTTGTCACATTATTAATCTAGTGGTACAAGATGGTTTAAAAATGATAGATTCTACAACTGAAAAATTCAAAAATGTGTTAACTATAGTTTTTGGAAAAAAAATAAAGCTACAATGGAAAAATATCGAAAGTTTGTCGTTTCCATTAACATAACTCCATATAGTCCTCATTGGGATATTGACACTAAATGGAGTTTGACGTGCATGATGTTTGAAAGTTTGACACGTCAAGAATTGCTTTGCAATTGTTTTACGACACAATTTCATAAGGAAAAAACTTGGTTTGTGATTTTGATTGAGATTTGATAGAAGAGTGTGGAAATGTTAAAAGTTTTTAAACAATCAACTACTTTTTTATCGGACGTGTATTATCCTACAAGTTCTTTCTTACTAAATGAGTTATGGTTGATGTCCGCACAATTAGAGTGTTTTGAACAAAGAAGTGAAATATTTGTTTTGTTATGAAACTTATGAGAGAAAAATTAGTCAAATGTTTCAAAGAAATGCAACCACTTTTTACTTGCGCCGTGACATTAAACTCATGTATCAATGTTACGAGTGTGGAGGCTTTGATTACCAAAATTTACATCTCTTCAAATTTGCACAAAGATGACTCAAGCTACACCCGTAACCAACTACACAATTTTAATAATACTTGTACTAATTTGTTTGACATTTACGCTACAAACAATGGCAATATGTCAAACATTTTTGCAAGTGTGACCTACTCTACTAGTTGTGCATCGGGTAGTAGTGGGGGTCGAACGGATTTTCATATCGACCTCTATAACTACCTTTTGGAGGAACAAAACAAACGAGCACACACATTAACCCCTAGTAGCGAACTTGGAATGTATATGGGGTCAAACTGTCACACCCCCAAACCAGAACGACGGAAACATCTGGGGGCGGATGACTTCATGTACAGTATCAGAACAATTGAATAATAGAGATCAAAGCATTACAACCATTACATTGATGAAAAATATGTTTACATTGCACTCAAAAACATTGTTTACATGATATCAAAAACATGTGACAAAAATGATATAACGAGATGTGACGACGTCCTATCCACCAAAAATCCTTGTGGTTACCTGTTTACTGGTTTCTTGAGAACACAAGTGATTTTGAAAAGTGTCAACAATTAAGTTGGTGAGTTCATAAGCGTTTTTGTATGCGAAGGAGTTTGCAACGGTTTCGTGTAAAAAATAGTGTATACTTCCAAAAAATCCAATATTTTATTATAAATGAGCTGTAAGTCTTAATCCAAAGACTAAAAATGTAAGTAATGTTGTATTGAAAATAGCGTTATGTAATTTTATCAATTTGTATAAAACTACTTGAATGTATGTTAACCCGTAAATCCAATGCGCCGTCGATACTCTATGTGAGTTATTATAACCATACTTATACGACTAGTGACCTGAACGACGTTCTTCAGGCGTCGGAACTGTTACGACATTTGTCACCCCAGACTTGCCGGTCTAACTGCAGCTAACAATTTAGGTGTGAGGTTGTCAATCCTGTATAAATCTATACACAAGTGTCACGCTCTCCCTATAAGAGACTTTGGTTATGATTCAGGACTTTAGTGGGTACTCTGGTGGGTACAATGAACTGATGAAGTAGATTCTCACAAGTCTATATCAACTGATTTACGTCTATAGTGCTGAAAAGTCGTTATCTTGTAAGTAAAATAATTATACTTTTAATAATTATTTATCTCTTCTGAAATGATATTGTAGTGTTTGTAACTCCCAAACTAAACCAATTATAGTTTATCATGTATGTTTGTCAATAATCATTTATATAAACCTTTATATAAACACATAGCAAATATTTTGTCTAATTTCAAAGTGTATGTCAACATCATGTTTTTGGGTTGTGACCCACAAAATAGTGTACTCCTTTTTGTTATAAAAGTTACATTTTAGTAAAAGCTTCAAAACCAAGGAGTTTTGCAAATCATAATTTTCTTATGATCTTATAACATAGATTATGTTTGTTTTGTTAGTTTTACATTTTAAAACTAACACAAATTTGTTGGGTAAAGCTAGTGATAACCACATCGTATGCAAACAATATCTTATATTTTAACACAAAGATGAAAACATGCAAATATTTGTATGATAAACAAAATTTGACTTGTATCCCCCCCCCCTCCCCCGCCAAAAAAAAACATGGAAAAGCTTGAAAATGTGGGGGTATGAACTCACATTGAGTGGATTTGTGGGTTGTTTGAAGTGATGATGAGAAGATTTCCAAGCCTAAACTCTTGGATGGTGTTGATGAAATTCTTGGAAATATTATTATCCTAAGTGTTTAATACATAATAATGTGTGTAAAGATGATGAAACTAACATAAAAATGTATTAGATCACTAGGGTATCACGAAAATACTTACCAAAATCTAAGGACCACTTGAAGGATTTTGAACTTGGAAGATTCTTGGGTTTGTTCTTGAGAGATTTTCGGGGTTATAGCAAAGAGGATGAAAGTGGTGGATTGATTTATGGTGAATTCGTTATAGATAAAAGGGGTACAATGAGTTGATATTTGCTTGGGAAACTGATGGTTATTACTTGGGATATTGGGGGGTAATATTTTGCATGGGGAAATGGTTAAACTATCAATTCATAAAGTCAACACTCTCATCCAATTTATCCATCCGAAAACCCCCTTGAAACTCCCTAATATGGCCGAAATCCTAAGTGATTTCGGTCTAGGTGGTCCTAGGCGTGTGATTTCGGTCCTAGACCCCCTCTAGCTTGTGTTTTCGGCCTTAGTGGGGTTCTAGAGTGGTGTTTTCGGCCTAGGGTGTTCTAGGTGGGAGATTTCGGCCTTGTGTGGTCCTAAGCAAACCGAAATCTCAAGGGGTGGGGTACTTAGGCCAAAAATTATAAAACAATGTTTTAATTCTATGATTTATGTTCCAATCATTTGGCTTTGCTTGCCCTTTAAGTGTTTAGTATAAACATGATTTTCAAAGTATGAATATATACATACACCTATACGTATACAAATAATGTCCTTTTAACTTTCAAGTGTTTTATCGCAACAAGGCTACATTGTGAATTCTCTTGTACACAAAATCTTTTAGGCTTGTTTGACTCAAAATTTTCCAGTTGTCACACAAAGTTTTAAAATTCATGAGTGAACCACGATTTAAAGTTTTGGATCTTTTTAGGCTTGGTGGAGAGAAAAGGAAGCACAATTTCCTATTCTCTCCGTCATGGCCCGCAATTTACTATCCGTCCAAGCTTCCACGGTAGCTTCAGAATCCTCTTTTTCTTTTACCAGTAGAGTTTTATCAAAGTTGAGTATGAATCTTACCCCGGTTGCGGTAGAGATTTGTGTTTGCTTGAAGGATTACTTAGATTCGGTGAAATTTATACAACACTTGGCATCACTAGAAGGCCCACTAGCAGAAAACGTTGAACCAGATATAATGGAAGAAGAATATGAATAAGGCTTATCAACACCTCCGGAAGTAAACGAAGACGACGACGATGAAGACGAATACGAGGATGAAGAATATGGTATTGATGATACCCCTTACCATTTGTGTGGCGGTTGAAGAACATTTTAGTGAAGCCGACACGAAGTGGAAGACTACAAAAACTCTTTATATTTGGCAAAATGTTATAACGCCACTTTATTAATATTATTATTAGTTAACTAG